ACTTAGATGAGATAAGAGATGCCTTGGTTCGGATGGCTTTAAAAGAGACCCGGGTTCTTGTTGTTCACGCTTATCCGGATAGTGGTCTAGACATATTTGCTACTGCAAAATATTTGGGGATGATGGATGTGGGATATGTGTGGCTTGCTACAAATTGGCTCTCGACTCTCTTGGATACGTATGCTTCTGTGTCTTCAGAAGCAACTAAGAATATCCAAGGAGTTATCACATTGCGTATGCACATTGCAGAATCAAAATTAAAGAAAGACTTCGTATCACGGTGGAGCAATCTGACTAGAAGAGAGGAAATCCATGCCTCTATTGGTTTGAACACATATGGTCTATATGCCTATGACACGGTTTGGTTACTTGCTCATGCCATCGATAATTTTTTTGAGCAGGGGGGAAACATTTCTTTTTCTTCTGACCCAAAGTTAAAGGAATTGCTTGGAGGCACACAGAATCTTAATGCTTTGAGCATCTTTAAAGGAGGGAATCTGTTGCTTGACAGCATTTTAAAGGCCGATATGACAGGTGTAACAGGACCATTCAGGTTTACTTCAGACAGGAACCTCATTCTCCCTGCATTTGAAGTTATTAATGTCATTGGCTCGGGATCTAGAGTGGTTGGTTATTGGAATTTTTCTGGCTTATCTGTGTTGCCTCCAAATACACTCTATACTAAGCGTCTGGACCATTCTAGTTCTAATAAGAAGTTACATCCTATAATTTGGCCGGGGCAAACAACAAAGAAACCTCGTGGATGGGTGTTTCCACACTATGGGAGGCATCTGAAAATTGGTGTCCCAAATCGAGTGAGTTTCATGGACTTTGCTTCCTATGTACCTGGCACTGATATGTTCTCAGGATACTGCATTGATGTTTTCACTGCTGCAATAAACTTACTTGCATATGCTCTTCCACATAAACTGATCCCCTATGGGGACGGTCATAACAACCCAAGTGGCACTGAGCTTATCCGCTTGATTACCTCAGGGGTACGTGTAAATTCCCAAATATGCCTTTGAACTCCAGAATTAAATGGGCTTTAACATTTCTTTAGTTTTTCTTCTTTCATTCAGGTTTTTGATGCCGCAGTAGGTGACATTGCAATAACAACTAATAGAACAAGGATGGCAGATTTTACCCAACCATTTGTTGAGTCTGGGCTAGTTGTAGTGGCACCAATTAAGGAGTCTCATTCTAGTTCTTGGGCTTTTCTCCAGCCATTTACTTGTACGATGTGGGTTGTCATGGGAGTTTTCTTCCTATTCGTGGGAGTCGTCGTTTGGATATTGGAGCATAGGATAAACGGCGATTTTCGTGGACCTCCTAGGGAACAGTTCATTACCATTCTATGGTGAGATTAATTTTAGTTCATTCCATCTACAAAAAAAACCAGAAACTATACAGGAGATATTTTGAGTAATTTTACCTCCAAGTCTCAGTGAGTACAAACTTGTGAATAATTTTAGAAGTATTTGTCCTTCTTCTATAAATAGTTTCTGATTTCATAATCAAAATTTTAAAGAAGGCAAAGTTAGCTCACTACATTACTTTATCTGTGTCATTCCTTTATCTTAAATATCCTATTTGTAAACGTTAACGTTCCTCCTATGATTAATACTTCATCTTTCTCTCATCTCTTTGTGATTTCACCGTGCAGGTTTAGCTTCTCCAATCTCTTTGTTGCCCGCAGTAAGTGATGTGAAACCTTGTGAACTTGAATGACTTGCGTGGAAAAAGATGAGTTCTTGAATTTTTTTTTGTTTTATGCAGGAGGAAAAATTGTAGGCAGTCTTGGACGCTTTGTGTTTATCCTGTTGCTTTTCGTGGTTTTAATAATCAGATCCAGTTACACTGCTAGCCTAACATCAATCCTTACAGTGCAGCAGCTTTCTTCTCCAATTAAAGGAATTGGAAGTCTGCTAAATAGCAAGGACCCTATTGGTTATCAGCAGGGTTCCTTTGCTCGAGATTATCTGGTTGAAGAACTTGGCATTCAGGAGTCTAGACTTGTTCCGCTCAAGTTACCAGAAGATTATGTTAAAGCTTTAAAGGATGGTCCCAAAAATGGTGGTGTAGTCGCTGTAGTTGATGAGCGCGCGTATGCAGAAGTCTTTCTTTCAACGCATTGTGAATTTAGTATTGTGGGTAAAGATTTCACGAAATATGGATGGGGATTTGTAAGTCTAAAATACTTATCATTTTTTCCCCTGATAATCAACTGCTGCATCTTGATGTTTTGTATGTGTTTTAATCAGGCATTTCAACGGGGCTCCCAACTGGCAGTCGACATGTCAACAGCAATTCTGAAACTGTCAGAGAATGGCGAGCTCCAACGAATCCATGACAAGTGGTTGTTAAAAAGTGCGTGCAGTTTAGAAGGTGCAAAACTCAACGAAGACCGACCTTCAGTCAGGAGCTTTTTAGGCCTCTTTTTGATATGCGGATCAGCATGCTTGTTTGCTCTGCTCATATATTTTGTAAAAATGATACGCGAAATTAACTGGGGAGGGATTGCATTGGAAGTGTTGGCCAAAATGCATCGACTGATTCCATAAAGCAGACAGAAACACCTTTCCCTTAAAGCGTTAGCCCCCGATACAACATTTAAATTTCTCCCAGTCAGCTTCAAGAAATCGTTCTCTTTAGTTTTGTTCTTCAGATTGGAACTGCATTTACTATTTTGTAAGATTATGTAAAGAAACAAAATTAAAATAAAGTGTTAGCAAGGACAGGCTTGTCACTAATTTTGTGGTGTGGATTCTTCATAATTGTATCTGATGAAGTTCTTCAACTCAATCTCTTCTCTCTCTAATTCATGGATTCTTTTTAGCTACATAAAAATAATATTTGCTACTAATTTTATTTTTTATTTTTTTAATTTTCACCCTCTTTTCAAGATAGAATCTGTGTAAATGTATGCATCAATATTTTATTTATTTATTTTTGTTTAAATCAAAGCACAAGGGCGGCATATGTATAGCATGTATTTATTCATGTTGAAAGTAAACAAAATTGAGTAAAAACTTCGGAGATGAATATAAAACCAGGTCCCTAGTCCATGAAAATAAAAATGAAAAATTAATGAGTTTGGTGGACTTGGCTATAGATAAAAGTCATACCCAGAGTACCACATTTCATTGGCTCTGATACCATTTAAGTTTGAAATTTTTTGAAACAAATGATGCAATGAGGCATGATAAAACATTATAGTCTCTTGAACATGCAACGTAGATGTATGAATTGAAGCAAGAATAGAAAAAATCAAAAATCCCAAAAATTTAGTAGTAGTCAAAATTAGGATTCTATCGATTTACCTTTGATTTTGATTGAATAGGTTGTTAATAGATGATAAGCTCGCCCAATAATGATGTACAGTAGCAATTTTAATGGATGCTGGTTATGAAAGTGTGACTGCCAAAAATGCAAGAGAAGAGATGGTGATTGTGAAAAAATGGGTTTGTGCCCGTTAAGTATAATTTGAAAAATTGAGCCATCGCTAGAGCGAGAAACTAGCGATTGAGCCTCTACTTTTGGGGCTTGAGCAATGACTAAGTGTCAAGTGAGCAAAATTTTTTTTTGACAAAAATAGGACTTTTGTTGAAAATTTCGAAATCTAGCACTCTTTCATGAATTTTTTTTCTAACTTTACAACACGTACTCCAACATATATGATAACTTAAAAATGCAGTTGATCAAAAATAAAAACATCATCAATTAATATAAAACTTTCCCACACACTCAATTCAAGTTTAAATAGAGTAAATTGTATAAGTGATCCATATGTGAAATATGCCACTAATTTCAGGGGAGCAAGACTTCAAATATAAATTTGTGAAAAATGACATGCTAAACATCTCTACAAAATGAGTGTTTTTCTCTGTGAATGAAAATCAAGCCCAATACTAATAGGACCTTTTAAATAAAAAGCCTATATTAATTTTTCAGTGTATAAATTTTCTCTCTTCCCATCATAAAGAACATTATATTTTTTAATATTTTATGTGCAATCCCTTCTCCATTAAGCGATTAAGATGAACCTATAAAAAGCTTTGGGCCGATAACTTCTAGTCAGCTAACCATAGTGCATCAAGTTATGAGAGATCCCTTAGGCTTAATTGCTCGAGTCAAATAGACTCCAAAGAAGAGTATAAGATGTATATCACTTTTTCATGTATTTCAAAATGTTTACTCTCGGTTATCTTTTTCTTTTAAGGGAAATATACTAGAACTTTAGGCCAAACTAGTTAAGGGTCGATTCTTGTTTGAGGTCACCTCACCAACAGATGACTGTCATTCCAAATCTCACACATACGGTCAAAACTCATTCACAAAATTATAATGTTTGCTATGCACATGGTACATAAAGAGACCTATACCAAGTATTCCACATAAAACCTAAACAAATAAATGGAAACCATATAATATATTCATCAATTGTACGCATACTTGGTCACAAGAAGCATGTTCAAGCAAATCAAATATAATGCTGCAATTTCAAAAAAATTCCTATTTTTTAATAAATTAATGAAACAAGCCAAACAAAATGAATATACAGAGAATGAAAAGCATGCAAGAATGAATGAACTCCACAAACTGTACATACATACACCTAAGTACCTAATCAAAGAGGTACACAAACCAATAGCCTTCCTAAAAGCTCAAACCCTAGACCATCTAAGGGCTCGGTAAACAAGTTAGCTAATTGATTTTCTGTGGAGATGTGTTCAAGAGATACAATGCATGTCTCTACAAGCTCTCGAATAAAGTACTATCTAATATCAATATGTTTCGTCTAAGAATATTTAACAAGATTTTTGAAAATATTAATAGCACTTGTGTTATCACAAAACGTAGTCATAGTTCCCTACTTACTTCTTTAATCACTCAACATCTTCTTCATCAAAGCAATTGAGTGCAACTACTACCTACAACTATATATTCGGCCTCGGACGTGGATAATGAGATAGAATTTTGTTTTTCACTCATCCAAGCTACAAGATTAGTATCAACATAGAAACATCCTCTGATGTGTTTTTTCTATCATTGACATTCCCAACACAGTCGGCATTGGAATAGCCCGTAAGATCAAGATTAGAATCTCTAGAGTACAAGATTTCATGATCTATAATAACATTACCATATCGAATGATATGCCTCACAACACTCAAGTGAGATTCTTTAGGGTCAGCCTGAAATCTCGCATAAACTCGAACACTAAATGTTATATCAGGTATACTGGCAGTAAAATAAAGTAAACTATCTATCATACTCCTATATAGTATCTGATCAACACTCTTAACTGTAGGATCGTGACCTAACTTAAAACTTATGCTTATGGGTGTTCTAGTATGTTTCTTGTTATCTAGCCCAAATCTATTGACAAAGTCTTTTGTGTACTTTGGTTGAGATATAAACAATCCACCATTAGTTTGCTTTACTTGGAAACCAAGAAAGTAACTCAATTCTCTAATCATGCTCATATCAAAATTTTACTTCATGCATTTAGCAAATTCATGAGTAAAAGAGTCAATGGGAAATCCAAAGATGATGTCATCAACATAAAACTATGCTATGATGATGGTTTCTTCAATATGTCTTATGAATAAAGTTCTATATGCACCACCTCTTGAAAAACCATTTTCATCTAAGTATGCAATTAGTCTATTATACCAAGTTGTATGAGCTTGTTTAAGACCATATAAAACTTTATTTAGTTTGTAGACATAATGTAAAAACTTAGGATTTATAAATATTTTAGGTTGTTCAACATATGCCTCGTTTTGAAGCATTCCATTCAAGAAGACACTCTTGACATCCATTTGATATAAATTGAACCCTAAAGTACAAGCAATAGCAAAAAGAATTATAACGGATTCAAGGCATGTGATAGGAGCAAAGGTCTCATCAAAGTCAACACCTTCATCCTGGGCATGTCCGTGGGCAATTAACCTAGCCTTATTCCTAGTTATGATACCTTGATCATCGGTCTTATTCTTAAATATCCACTTCGTGCCTATAACATTGTAATCATTGGGCCTAGATACCAAATACACTCATTTTTTCTTACAAATTGATTCATCTCTTCATGCATAACATTTATCCAGCATTTATCACTAAGGGCTTTTTCTACTCTCTTAGGCTCAATTTGGGATATATAACTAGCAAATGTAAAGTTGTTTAAAACCCTTTTGCAAAGTCTCATCCCGTCATCTAAATACTCAATGATATTGACCTTAGGATGATTAGACTTAACTTTAGATAAAGGTTCCTTAGAAGGATTGGATTTATGACTAGGTGATTGGTCTACTTGAAGAAATGAAGTTTTACTAGGAGATGGTCCACTAGGAAAGCTGAAGCTCAATCTAGGAGATGATTTTTTTTATTTGGAGTGTCTAAACTTTAGGTGAGTATGGAGGTTCGGGAATTGATTTTTCTTTAGGCTCAGTCATCATGATGGGACCTATACTAGTGTAATCTAACTCATCCCAGTCTCATACAATCTTTCCCTTACTGAAAGCATCATTAATCACAATATTTATGGACTCTATCAAAACTCATGTACGAGAATTGTACAACAATAGGCTCTACTATTCCTAGAATATCCTAAAAATTTTCCATCATCACTCTTAGAGTCAAACTTGCCCACGTTCTCTCTATCTCTCAGGTTATAGCATTTGCTACTAAATACACAAAAGTATTTGATTGTAAGCTTTTTACCCTTCCAAATCTCATAAGGTGATTTTCAGTCTTAGGTCTAAGGTAAAACATGTTCACTATATTACAAGTACTGTTAATCACTTCATCCCAGAAATACATTGCTAGACCCTTACCATGAAGCATGACCCTATTTATTTCTTGAAGTACACAATTTTTCTTCTCAACTACTCTATTTTGTTGTGGAGTGATTGGTGAAGAGAACTTTTCTCAATTCCCTCTTCAAACCAAAAATTCTCAAAGTTAGAATTTTCAAACTCTTTCCTATGATCACTTCGGATTCTAGTTTTGGTGGAATCTTTCTAATTACTAAGTCTCTTACACAAGAATTTAACAAGGTTGAACACCTCAGATTTTTCTCTCACCAGCTCAATCTATGTGAACCTAGAGAAGTCGTCAACCACAATAAAAAAATAAATAAAGCTTACCGCTAAGGCTATCAGTCCTAAATGGTCCTATTAAGTCCATATGGAGTAGTTCTAATGGCCTTTTTATCAAGATGCTAGAAGCTTGTTTACGATTTACTCTAAGTTATTTACCTTGTTGACATGGTCCACAACTAGTTTTTTTTCAAAATTTTCAAGTTTAAGTAAGCCATTTACATGTTCCTTCTTAGCTAACTTAGACAAAATTTTATACTTCTTATGACCAAGTCTTTGATGCCAAAGTTCAGTCATATCAATTTGTAATTAGGAAGAATACATAATAGTTGTCAGAAGTTCTTACTCTTTCGATAGCTACGTTATTGTGAAAATTATAAACAGTATACCTTTTCTGGATAAAACTAGCCTCAAAACCAACATCACATATTTGAATAATGCTTAACAAGTTAGACTTTAAACCTTTCACATAAAGAACATTTGAGATAATAGGTAATCCAGATATATTGATGTTACTTTTACCAAGAACAAGTGTGGTAGCAACATCTCCAAAATAACCAAATTATCATTCTAATAATCAAGAGTAGAGAACAAAGCTTTATTACCATACATATGTCTAGAGCATGCACTGTCAAGACACTACATAGAGTCGTTTTTAGCTTTAAGAGCAACAAGGGCAACATAGTAGTTCAATTGTTCATCATACCTAGAGAGATCTCTCTTATTAACCCAAACCTTCCTAGAAGTAGAGGTAATCTTAGTTACCTGTGTCATCATTTCAGTCAACTAACTAACCTGATTAGTAAGAAAGTTAACCTTGCTAATGATATCCTTACTCTTAATCATATTCACAAGTTTGTGACACCTAGGTCTCCTATGTTCTAATTCACCTCAATTATGTCATGTAGGAATAAACTTAGGTCCAAAACCATGTGATTGCTAATATTAGTTTCTAAGTCGATTGGTCCTACATTATCTAGTAGGCTTTTGTCCTAAGATACCTTTGTTTTTGGGTTTAGGATTGGGATAATTGTGGTCTTAAAAGTACTAGTCATTTATGATCATATTCCTAGCAGGCTTATTCATCCCTAAAAGATTATCAAGTTTTTTTGAGAACCACTCAAGAAGGAATAAGGTTGAGTATTGGATTTCTCAAGGACGCTTGTTAGGGTCTTAACTTTAGCATCTAAGTTCTCATTGACCAGTTTTAACTCACCAAGTCTTTTGGTAGACTCCTAAAGGTCGGATATATATCTTTCTCTTTCTAGTTCAAGTTCATTGGCCTTCTTAAGTACGACTTTACTCACCTTCTTTATCTCTCCTTAAATAACTGATGATAACCCTCACAAATCTCTGAATCATTTTCAGAGACGTCTTCATCTCCGGATTCTACCTCAGTATCTCACCACGATAGCTACGTTCTCGACCTTTTCAACAACCTTGTCTAAATCACTCTTAACTATGGAAGTGAAGGCCATATATCATCCTCACTATTAAAAAAATCACACACTCTAGTCAATGGAATTAGACTCATCATCAATAAGAGAAACAACCATTGCCTTACCCTTTCCTTTATTCAGGTTCTTCTAATAGTTAGGGCATTCATTCCTATAGTGTCAAAAAACTTAACACTCATGACATCTAACAGATTGAGTTTTCTTACTATGACTCATCGTATTATACTTATCATGCTTGTTTTTCCCTAACTTACCAAGTACACCATTATTTCTCTCTTGAGGTTTTCTCTTATTCCTAGAGACATTTTGAAATTTCTTAACAAAATAAGTTTTCTCCTCGTCCTTAAAGGTCTCAATATCAGTAGATTACACTCTTCTTTAATAACGGTGTTTAAGGCTATAGACTTATTCTTCTTTAGTTGGGATATGGTGAGTTATTAGGTTTAGAGGAATCCTACAAGTTCCTCTATCTTAACTGCATCTAAGTCCTTACTCTTTTTAATAGCAGTGATCTTAGGTCTAAACCTCCGAGGTAAGGATCTAAGAACTTTTTGGACAATCTTTGTCTCAAGTATTTTCTCATGCAGGTTAAAGCTAGAGTTCACTATGTCATTTTAACTTCGTCTAGAAATCATCGAACGATTCGTCGTCCTTATTTCTAATTTCTTCATACCTAGTAGTCAACACCTGTAATTTGGATTTATTAACAATTTTGGTTCCTTCATGTGTAGTCTCTAAAATATCTTAAACATCTTTTGCAGTCTCATATATTGATATTCTTCTAAATGTTTCGACAGACAAAGAGAAATATCTGTAAGAGTAGGAATGCCTACAACAATAGTAAAGGGAGCAGTCCAACCATTT